CACATCACTTAGAATTTGTCTTCCTCTTCGTCCCCCAGGAAGCACCAAAACAAGCCTTACAGATAAGACGATTTTACACAGCTTTTGAAATAAGTGGCTGGGCATGCAGCCAACAGAGATCTGGGAGAAGTGTGGCCTGGGCAGGAGAGCTGGGAGACTCAACAGGACGGGGAAAGGATCCCCAGGAGGAAATGAAAGTCGTGGTTTCAGGTGGCAGTTTCTAACTTGTCTCCACCTCGTTCATAAGACACCACAGAGTAAAGTCAGATTCCCCCTCAGATCTCAAAGGGTAAAGTCAGACCTCAGAGAGCACGGGGGGCAAAAGGTACTGAACAGCAGCCATTGGCTTACGCTTGTTATCCCTGAATCCATGCGACCCCATGAGACGCTTTCCAACATCCAAAAATTGGAGGAGTTTTCAACTTCCTAAACACAGCTTCTTTATTGATTTCCTTCCAGCTCTCATAAACATGTCAAGCAACAGACCTAGGGAGGCTGGCCCTACTGCGAGCCAGGCAGAACTGCACACACACACACACACACACACACACACACACACACACACACATATACCCGAAGGTACTCTGGCTCGAGGGCGCTCTGCCTCCAAACTGCCTTTCCCTCCCTCCAAGTTTGTCTCCAGTCTTTAAACAGTTTTCCTTAATGATTCCAATACATGAAAAAACTGTAAATGATTCTGCAGATGGGACATCAGATTGATTAATAAGTATGGGAAGAGACAGTTACTCAACCTCAGTAAGAACTGGAGATCTGCAAAAGCAAGCAATGAGATACCCAATCATACCCATCTGATTGAAAAACAATGGAAAGTCAGATAATACTAAGTGTCAGATATGATGGGAGGATCTGAGAACCCCCAGATACTGCAGGTGGGAGGGTAAACTGGTACATACTCAAGGAAAGCGTGTAAGAGTACCCCTGGGACCCAGGAATCCCACTCCTAGGGGTCCACCCCAGACTCTCTTATACAGGTCCTCAGGAAGACACACCTAAGGATGCAGCAAGGAGCTGAGTGCACAGACAGGGAGAAAGAAAATGAATAAATGTCCACTGAAAGGAAATTCAGACAATGTAGAAATATATCATAAACAATAAATAAATACATAATGAAGAATCTCCCACAGTCACACATGTACACACTCATACAAAAAATTCTTTGCACATCCATATATATAATTTACTTATTTAATGAGCTCATACTACACATGCTGTTTTGTAACCTGTCTTTATTTATTTAATGAGCTCATACTACACATGCTGTTTTGTAACCTGTCTCACTCAACCAGTGAGTATTATATTAGCGTCACCATTTTTCACAGCTGCACAGTATTGCACTGTAAGGACTACCATAATTTAGTTAACCAATGCTCAATTGTTAGATACCTAGGTTACTTAAACCTTTTCACCGTTAAACAGAACCGCTCTGGACTTCATTGGCCATGCATCTTTGCTTCCTCTCCTAAGTAATAAAATTAGAAGCAAAGAATAGGTATTGCAGTAAAAACTGTGCGTACCTTAGAAACGGAACTGCTTGGTTAAAGGTATAGATCTTTCTTATCACGATACACATTCTTTGCTTCTAATTGTAACAGTTTCCTTGGATCCACATTCTTTCTGTTGTCTGGCAAAGCGACTCCTTCAGGGAAGACAGACACACGGGTTATGTATAAGCAATAATACTTACTACACTCTTCCTCCTTTACCTCCCTCCCTTCTCTGTATCCATCGTTAAGGAAATGGCGGCCACTGTCCAAATAAGTCCCGATCTCACAGGTTCCCAGCATCAGCCACGCAGCTCATCACAGAGGACATTTTGAGACACATCAGCAAAGCATCAGCAAAGCAAAATACTTAGGGGTTCATTCATTTGCTAAAAATACCTTTATCAGATGCCAGCTTGTGCTTGGAGCCACAGCAGGCGTTAGAGAGGCACAAACGATTAAGGGCCAGTCCTGCTCTTAGGAGCCCTCCGCCTGGTAAGTTCAGCGACACTCTTGACTCCAAGTAGAAAATCCCAAACTCACATGTGCTCTGGAAGGCGGCCTTGCTGGGAGGCTTCTCAGAGGAGGTGACACACAGGCAGGCAAACAGCAATGAGCTGGCCACGTAGTCTTGGTGGTGGAGGGGACCCCAAGCGGAGGGTCAGAGGCACATGCCAGGCTAAGGCCACCAGATGCCGCTGGAGAACACCTGAAGGTCCAGCAGGGTGGGAGCAGTGGGCACAGCTGAGATGGGGGCTTGAGAGGGAGGCGGGGCCCTGGTTAGACACAGCCAGCTTGCCAGCACACTGAGAAGCCTGCGCACGGGGGGATGAGTGGGCAGAAGAAGGGTGAAACCAGACGAGGGAGGATGGATGGGAGTGGGGACAAGGCTGGCTGCAGGAACGCCAGCCTGAAGGGCACTGCTGTGACTCCTGACACGAGGGAGGGAGGTGAGTCAGGCAGAAGGGCTGGCAGGTGGGGAAGCTCCCGTGGAGGAAGGGGTATGGCCCAGATGAGACAGTCTCAGGGAGACTTGAGAGGCAGAATAGCCAGGATGTGGTGACTGCATGCCAAGGGGCTAGGAGGGGAAGCAGGTAAGGAAGACGCCCAGTCAGGGCAGCAGGCCTTCAGGAAGCCGGATGAAGCGAGCGTGCAGAGGCCTGTGGAAAGGTCACAGTACAGACCACAGACTTGTAGTGTTCTAGAGTCTACCGGATGACTTACTCCCCTCCCTGGGATGCAACTTTCTCCTCTGCAAAGGAGCACGTGGGACCTGTGTACCATCAAGGCCCTTCCCAGCTTTAAAATGCTGTAAGTTCCTATCCACATCAGAACTGGGGTGTCAGCTGAACCCCTGGAAACTCTCCCCAACAAGAAGGCCTTCCTGGAAAGAGAAGGCACATCCATAAGGAGCCTCTCCCGTGAAGTCGGAACCTTCCTCCAACGCCCAGCTCACAGGCCAGCAAGGACCCATCCCTTCCAGCCCTGAGTACCGGCTCTCCTGCTCAAACACATGCCCTCACATCTGACCACATGCTGCTTGCTTTTCGGCCCCGCTCCTGGGTAATACGGAGCAGACTGGCAAAATAGTTCAAATACCGTCTTAAGAAGTGCACCGCCTTGTGGGCTGAGTGGCCTATTTTGAGCAAAATGTTTCAAACCTCCAGGCTCAGAGCTGCTCTAGGCACCAACGTTCAACGCAGCTGAGCAATCAGGAAGGCAGTAAAGGACTACGGCGCATCTGCTGAAGGCCAGGCCGTCCTTGGGCACGGGGACTGGACACGCCCACCCTCCAGGACTGTCTGCTGTGTGGGGGAGCCACCAGCCTGGCGTGAGAAGGGCCGTACGGAGGATGCGCAAGGCTAGGGCTGGGGGAGGCCAGAAAAGGAAGCAACCGCCTGGCTCGGATGTCCAGGAACTCTACCCAGAGGACGGAGCATGGGAGCTGGGCCCCGGTGGCTGCGTGCAGTCATGGCAAGTGTGCAGTGGGAACTGGCCCAGGAGTGGACGAGCACAAGCCAGCCGCAGGGAGTGTCAGGAGAGAAGTGACAGGAGGTTCAGAAGGGCTGGCTGATGGCCACAAGGTGCACTGGAGCTAGTCTGTAAGGGTCTGAATGCCACATCCAGGTAGTGGCTACAGGGAGCCACTGAAGTTTGCAAGCAGAGGATAAAGGGCAGCGGGAAGGATGGGGTACAGAGAGGGGCAATTCAACGTCTGCTGCACGTCAGGGGATCAGCACAGTGGAAAACAATGTAGCCGGAGCCAGGGCAGGGGATGGGGCGAGGGGATGTGGGCCCACAGTTCCCCCTTCTCCATTTTCTCAGGACCACTACCATTTAATCCTATGGCCCCACAAAGAAACACCTTGACTCAAAGTCACACAGCAACCAACAGCAAACCTCAAGGGAGAGCTCCCAACCCGGCCTTTCCAGATCTGGTTTCTGCTCCTGCTCTGAAAAGGCTCACAAGCCCCTGGCCCCAAACCTCCAACAGCTGATCAAACACCCAAGCACACTATATACACTTGGAAGGGGAAGGAACAGGCTGTGAATAACTGACACACACATGCCCAGATTTCCCAGAGGCCCGCCTGAGTAACAGGACACATTTGGTTCATTTCCTGCAGAACCAGAATTTCCCAGGCATTAGGGGGAAATGCAACCCTCCCTGCATCCCCTGTAGCCCTCTCCATCCCCCTACTCCAGAGACCCCGGCCATCCTTTCTAATTTCCCACTTTCTCCCTGAACTTGAGCAACCCACAAAAAGCCTCTCCAAGATCCCTCATGCCCCTGCAGATCTTCATTGCGGCAGTTCATTCAGGCAGGGTGGTAGGCAGAAAGTCACTGAGGCCACCAAGGATGGCCAAACATCCTAAAGCCCAGCTCCAATCCCTGGCGCAATGCACGCCTCCAACAGGTATCCCCACAGGCTAGACACGGCTTCTTTTGGTAGCAGAACCGATGAAAAGAAAAAACAGCAGGTGGTGCCTGAGAAGCCCTCAGAGGGAACAGAGGGAGGCTCAGCAAGGTGGGTACGGTTCAAATCCTACTTCCACCACCGAGCTTACTTGAATAAGCCACCTTGCCTCTCCGGAAAATCTTTCCTCATCTGTGAAATAGGTATAAAAATATATTCCGTGTAAGGGTGTCATAATTCGGAGCGCTATGGAGAGTGTTAAGCATTAGTGGAGAGTGAAAAGGAATTCAATATTTTTTATATATTTATTGATATATACAGATACATATCATAGCTATAGCTACAGCTATAGCTATAGATAGAGATATCGTTCGAAGGGGAGAAAATTCCTAAAGTGTGTAGCAGGGAAAACCAGCCGAGTGCAACCCTGAGGAGCAGGGCCGGGAGTCCCAGGCTAGCGGGAGCGCACCCAGGCGCCGGGGCCGGAGCATCGGTGCGCGCAGGTGCGGCGGGCGCGCAGTGACAGCAGGTTGGCGGTGCAAGTTGGCCCGCGGGGGCTGCAAAGGGGCGGCGGACCCACCTGAAGACGCGCAGCAGCAGGCAGGCTATGAGGAAGGCGGAGAAGGCGCACGCCACGATCACGGCCGCCTTCAGGGTGGGCAGGTCGCGGAGCAGGCTGGAGATGCGGGTCACCAGGGCGTCACCGCTGCTGTTGGAGCTGCCGCCGCTGCCGCTGCCGCCGCCGCCGCCGCCCGCCGCCTCCCCGGAGCCCATCCCGGTAGCGTTCCCGGGACCAGGGCCGGGCGGCGGCCGCGGCTGGCGCTCGGATCCGGACTGCGGCGGAGCGGCGGACTCGGCTCTGCTGGCGCGGGCGGCGGGCGCGGCCAGGAGCGCGAGCAGCACCAGCAGCGGCAGAAGCCGCGCGGGCGGCGGCGCGGCGCGCATGGTGCGGTCCGGCGGCCCGGGGTTGGGCTGGGCGAGCGCGGCGGAGCCCTGGGTCCCGCACCGGCGACGAGGCCTTCACCGGCTACTCCCGCGGCGGAGCCAGGCGGCTGCGCGGTGCTTGGCAGGAAGCTGCGGCGCCCGGAAGAGTCCGAGCCGCCCGCCGCCGCCGCGGCAGCCGCCACCAACACGTTGCACGGAGTCATTCGACGGGCCGCAGCCCCACGTGGGCGGGGCAGGCCACCAGGCCCGGTGCGGGCTTCGCTGCTCTCCGGGCGGCCCCAGTTCCCTCGGGACCTGTCACCCCCTCGGAGAAGTAACAATAGCCAGGCGCTGTGCTGCACATTTCACATTTTCTCTATTTCATTTAATCCTGCAACCCCCTTAGGAGACAGGTATTTCGGTTACCCTCCTTTAATAGTTGATTCAAGACCCAGAAAGCCTGCTCATAGCAACCCGGGTTGTGTCAGACTAAGAATCGAAAGACCATGGCACCCGGGGCAAACCTCCATTCTACAGATGCGGAAACTGAAGCCTCCAGAGTGAAATGGGCTGTCCGATGCCCTATGCAGTGCATATAGTTCCACATCTCCCCAGTTAACTTCTTTTTCTCTGAAAGAGTTTCTTTTCTCATGGCTTCGATCTTTCAGACATTGTGCACCTCTGCTTATGAACTGGATTAAGATGTGCATTTCTGCATTCATACCTTTGCTGTGGAATAGTCTTCCTCCCAGGTTGAAGTTTCAGACCCCAGGGAGTAATTGGCTTGCTGCCTCTGGTTTGTAAGCTAAATGATACTTAAGTGGAGAAAGACAGTTATGGATGTTCTAGTGTGAGACCCAAAGTCGGGAACTGATGCAGGGCACAGAGGGCTTTCCTGGATCACTAGGAACTATACTGCAGGCCTCAGGTTCCACCTTTCAGCATGAGGATGGATCCTGGCAGGAAGCTCTCCAGTAACAGGTAAACACACATGACAAGTACTCAGTGACCTTAAACAGCTCACTCCTGGTCCTACTAAAAAGAGCAACAGATAAATAAAATATAGTACAGTGTAGTAGTTAGCTATTGCTTCCTAACAAATTATCCCCAAACTTCACAGCTTAAAACACACACATATATTATAGCAGAGTTTCTGTGGTTTAGGAATCTGAGCATAGCTTAGCAGGGTCCTCTGCTTCAGGGTCTCTCACAAAGGTGCAATCAAGGTGTCAGCTGGGGCTGGGGTCTCATCTGATGGCTCAACTGGGGAAGGATCTGCTTCCAACTTCAATCACTGGTTGTTGGCCAGATTCAGCTGTTCGTGGGCTATTGAACTGAAAGCCTCAGTTCCGCACTGGCTGTTGGCCGGAGGCTGCCCACCGTTCCTTACCATGTGGGCCTTTCCAACATGGCAGCTTGCCTCATCAAAATGTGCAAGTCTAGAAGACAATAGAAGGACCCTGTTAGCAAGACAGAAGTCACTGTCCTAGGAAACCTGACCACAGAAGTGACATCCCAACACCTTTGCTATATTCTGTTGGTTAGAAGCAAGTTACAGATCTTATCACAAGGGAAGGGAAGTGTACAAGGGTGTGAATATCAGGAAGCAGGGATTATTGGGGCATCTAAAGAGCTGCCTGCCACTTATAATGTGACACATGTTGATTTAGTGGGATGAACGTTAATCAGGTTATCAGAAGTCATCGCCCAGGAGGTACTATTTGAAATGCACGTTGAATAGTCCAGCATGCCCCAGTGGTGAGAAATTTGGACAGATCACATGCTTTAGGTCTCTTCCAACTCTAAAATACCACTTTATGGTATGTCAAAAATGTGTTGGCAGAGAGCCAGCATTTTATCATATCATCATGATAGAATTTAGAAAAGAAATTTCTTAAAGAACCACTGGCGACATCCATGATTTTGCAGCACTGCCCTCTAAGGCATAAACCTCAGACATCACAGGCTTATATTTTTGTCCTTATCAAAAATTCCTGCGTGGTAGAGTAAAGAAGGCCTGGGCCTTGGAGCCTCTAGCCAGGATGAGAGGTCTGACCGCTGAGTGGCCTTGGCCAAAGACTTAACCACAGAATTCAAGTCTTTAATGTCTAAAGTGAGGATAATAATACTTAGCTCAGGAAGGTCGCTGGAAGCATGGCTAAGAAGGGAGAAAACATTAGTGCCCTTATCCTTCTTTTGCCACAATTCATGGACTGGAGTAGGCTTGCTTGGTTGTTTAAAATTGACTTAACACCAAGAATGTACATAAATGTTAGATTATTTTAGTAAAGTGAAACTGTAGAATCTTTCCTTCTTCCTGATTATTTGCTGTGCAAACCATCACAACAAAGAACTTACTTATAAATTGCCCTAATTAGAATTCCTTAAACATTTTGAATCAACCAACCATAAACAATGACATTTTAACATGGAACACTGCTGACAGGCAACAGAAACCAACTGGGGCTGATTTCAGGAAAAGGGAGTTTATCGGAAGCATGTTGGGTTGCTTCTAGAATCAACCATAAGCTAAAGCAGAAGTTCTAAAAGTGTGGTCTGGGGACTCCTGGGGTCCCTGAGACCCTTCCAGGGAACCTGCAAAGCCAAAACTAATTCCATAATAACATTAAGATGTTATTTGTCTTTTTCACTGATGGCGCAAAAGAAATCGTGATGAAAACTGATGGTGCCTTAGCATGTATCAAGACAAACTATACTCATAGTAATTGTATTCTTCATGACCATGCACAACAGAAAAGAAAATAAAAAGAGCCAGTTTCATTTTATAGTGTCTTCGATAGAGCCATGAAATGATTAAATCTTGACCCTTGAGAACAGAACATTTTACTGTTAGATGGGGTAAAATAAGAAGTGTGCATAAATCTCAAATGCTGCACTCTGAGCCATGAGGAGTGTCTCAAGAAAAGAACACATGTGCGATTCTTAAAGTTGCAAACTGAACTAGCCACTTTTTTCATGGAACACCATTGTTAATCAAAAGAGTGCCTGACAAACTTCAGACCTGGTCTTTGGCAGGCATTTTCTCAAAAATGAACAAGAATGAGCCTGTCACTTTAAGGATGGCAACTGACAGTATTGTAGCCAATGATAAAATTCAAACCTTCAGGCTAAAATCTGAATTTTTAGAAAACTTATCCATTAGGAGGCTTTCTGCTGTGAGCTGGACTGCTTCCCAATACTTCAAGACTTTTCTGATGAGCTTGGTGGTGATACTAAAAAGTGTGGCGGTTTTGATATTATATAATGAAATATGTCAAATTTTGAAAGATCTGCTTAAATCAGCAAGCCAATTTTTCTGCATGGCCAATGTTACAAAATCATGCTTGGGTAAAAGATCCATTCAAAGTGCAAGGTAGACCAATGGATTTTGATGAAGTGGAGTATAAAAGTTCATTGGGGCTTCCCCGGTGGCACGGGTTCGTGCCCCGGTCCGGGAAGATCCCACATGCCGCAGAGCGGCTGGGCCCGTGAGCCACGGCCGCTGAGCCTGTGCGTCCGGAGCCTGTGCTCCGCAACGGGAGGGGCCACAACAGTGAGAGGCCCGCGTACCGCAAAAAAAAAAAAAAAAAAAAGTTAATTGATATGGTTCCAGATTTCACAGTGTAATCTTTAAGAAACTACTGCTCGCAAATTTTGGTGTGAAATTAAAGAAGTATATCCATACTATCTGAAAAGGCTATTAAAATTCTCCTTTTTCCAACTGCATATCTAGGTGAGGCTGGATTTTCTTCATATTTTTCAACCCAAACAACAAATCGCAACAGTGTGAATGCAAAAGTGTATATGAGAATCCAGCTATTTTCTTTTTTTTTTGATAGAAGTTTATTTTATTATTAAAATATAGTTGATTTACAATGTTGTGTTTGTTTCAGGTGTACTGCACAGTGATTCCGTTTTTTTTGCAGATTATATTCCATTATAGTTTATTACAGGATATCGGGTATAATTACCGGTGCTATACAGTAAATCCTTGTTGCTTATCTATTTATGTATAGTAAATAGTTTGTATCTGTTAATCCCATATTCGTAATTTGTCCTTGCCCCCTTCCCTTTCCCCTGTGGTAACCATACGCTTGTTTTCAATATCTGTGAATCTGTTTATGTTTTGAATATGGATTCATTTGTATTAGTTTTTCCAGCTATTTTCCATTAAATCAGACCATAAAGAGTTTACCAAAAAAATGTTGAAACAATGCCACTCTTCTATTTTTTTAGAAAATATAGTTATTTTCATAACCGTGTATCGATGTTAAAATATTAATGTATTTATTACCCTGTTTCTAATTGAATTAATATTTTAAGGTGTTTTCATTTTAAATCTCTAATGCAGTAAATATCAGTAGGTATAACCCACGTAACAAAACCTCTTTGAGGTCCTTCATTTTTCTTAAGACTGGAAATCAAAAAGAGACCAAAAGTTCCTGAGACCAAAAGATTGTTTGAGAGATGATGAGCTTAGATAATCAGGGGTGGAAAAAAGAAGCAAATCAATTAGAATATTTTCTGCTATGAGAAACAGAAAAACCCAACTTGAACTGAGTTAAACAAAAAGGAAATCTCTTCTCATATAAAGGAAGATCCAGGTGGTTGATTCAGCAGTTAAATGATGTCTAGGACCCTGGATTTGTCCATCTTTCTGCTCTGTTGCCCACAGCACTGGCTTCAACCTTAGGAGGGTTGCAGTGATTGCTGGTCACAAGAACACTGCAGTGACAACTGGGGTAACCTGCCTTCTAGTTCATACACATCAAGTGAGAAAGAAAAACCCTTCTTCCAATCGTGGAATAGAAACCCTCCTCTTGGACTTCCCTGGTGGCGCAATAGTTAAGAATCCTCCTACCAATGCAGGGGACCCGGATTCGATCCCTGGTCTGGGAAGATCCCCCATGCTGCAGAGCAACTAAGCCCGTGCGCCACAACTACTGACTGAGCCTGTGCTCTAGAGCTCATGAGCCACAACTACTGAAGCCCACACGCCTAGAGCCCATGCTCCACAACAAGAGAAGGCACTGCAATGAGAGGCCCGCACACAGCAACGAAGAGTAGCACCCACTCGCCGCAAGGAGAGGGAAGGTTCTGTTAGAGAGGAGGAAGAGAAGATACGGATGCTACATAGTCTTCCCCTCCCATTCCAACAGGCAAGAAACAGGGAACTGGGCTTCCCTGGTGGCG